GAAATTTTCGGTTGATGCTGATTACGTGTAGCATGCTCTTAGGTAGTGGATGCAGTCATTAGTATAGATAGAGTTGCAATGGTGTAGGGAATAAGGACGATGAAGTTGGAGAGGGGAATGAGCGGGATGAGGGGAGGACCGAAGTGCTGTGCAAATTCGTAAAGATCATTTACCAGCGGGGTATTCGTTACAGTCAAAGCCTCTTCCGTATCTGATGACTGCGAAAGACGGAAGTACTTGAGGACAGTCCATTTCGTAGCAGCAGCTACTGCTGTCAATTAGAAAGGCTGTCAAGGAGGCTTCTCTTTCGACGGTTGCGCATAACGAGCTTAATGTCGATTTGATTCCTTGACATGTGCTAGTGCCAGTTCACTGTCGAAATGAATGAGCGAACTGTAGAGGGGTTATTTGTCCCACTTTTTGGCTGATGCGCTGGACCTTCAAGGTGAGATCTGCACTGCGTGCCATTGTTTAGCGTCTGCAGTCATCCGTTACTCATTACAAACGCATAGTGAATGCGCTGAGGCTTGACATACTTTATTTCTGTCTTGCAGTAGTTGAACTGTTGCGCGCGCTTCCTGTGTTCCGATGGCTTGATATTTTGTTCGGACTTCATTTGCTGTGGTAGAGTGTTACAGAAAAATACACTTTTGCCTATTAGCTGCGTAAAAAATATTTCCAAAAAATGATTATTTGCTTTGTTTAGGTGCTCCACTGCTGTCGCGGAGCAGCGACCAAAGTGCACGGCATAGTGCTGGGCAAGAAAGTGCTTCGAGTGAGGGCGATGAAGAAGGTCAAGGCTGGCAGCGCGAAGGGGTTTCTCCGGCCAGCAGTACCGGGGGATACGAATGGAACAGGCAGATCATAGAAGGAGGAGGCGGCGGCCAAATTGCTGCGCAAGGCGTTAACCGAGAACAGTCTAGCAGCGTTCAGCGAAGTGATGGACAGTCCGCATGGTCTGGATACAGTATTCGCACTCATGAAAGCGAAGAACTGGAACGGAGTGACAACGGAGAGAGCGCACTTCCCGCACAATTTGTGCCTCAACGAGATGAGGGCCAGTGGCAATCGGGCATTGTTGAAGGAGGTGATCTGCGCGAACTTGAACGGGACAGTGACCGCATTTGGGCGAGCGCCGCCGAACGAGCGTGGTGGGGAGGCTATGACCAAGGCGGAGCTGCCGCAGAGGCGCAAAGGGACATTTTTTATGAACCCGAACTTGATTAGTATTGCC